CACTGGATAATTCTAAGAAGAGAGATCCCTCCACTCCCTCATCTACACGAGCCCGACAATGTAAAAATGAATCATAACTGGAGAATGAAAAAGTATCAAAACAAAACAAAGAATCAAAACTAGAAGGAACAGCAGAGACCTAGTTCAATTCCCTCATTTCATCCGTGAAGAAACTAAGGTACTCATGGGAGAGGCCACTTGCCTCACGGCACAGAGCAAGTCAACGGCAGAACCAAAACTGTAACCTAGGTCTCCTGGTTGATACCCCCGATGTTTTGTCCACCAAAGCCCAATTGCTTCATGGTTCTCAAATGCTACAGAAAATGACCATGGGGCACAGCTTAACCAAGAGCTTAAGCTAAATCAAGGGACTAAACCAAGGGTGGAAAACAAGGGATGCAAGTGGCCAAATGGATTCAGTTTTGAAAAGCACAGCAGGACGAATGCATAGAAGTGGAAGCGAGATGAGAGATCTGGGCAGACATATACTAAAGCACTAATCATGAGCCTTAGTTTCATTTTCTTTCAATTATCTGAATAAAAATGGGTTTCATTGTCTTCAGTTATCTGAATTTTCTACTTTTTTACAATAACTACATATTGCCTTTGAAATAAATGTAAAGAGTTTGCTTGGTGACTTTCTTTGTGGTGTGATGGATCTAACAACGGCAGTAAGATATAGAACAAGTATGATGGAACTGGCAGTCAGACAAACGTGGGTTCCCACAGCAGCTCCGCCACTTACCAATGGTGGGACCTTGGGCACATTAGCAAACCTAGCTGAGCCTCTGTTTCCTCATATGTGGCATTATGATAATGGCAACCTTGCAAATGTGTAAGATTTTAACGCAGGAAAAGAACACAACAGAATGCGTGGCACATAACAGATACATAATAAAATGGTAAATAGCATTTGAACCATATTTGCACCTGTGATTACAACCTAAACCATTAAACTATGCCTCTGCCCTTGAAAAGATGTCATTTCACTTCATGCTCATGTCACTTGTGTGTACTAGTATAATTTAATAGGACAACTGAATAGTAGCTGGTTTTCTGGGTTCTGAAAGAAGATAAGCACAAACATGGAGAACAGCTTTTCCACCATCCAGTGAATCTCTTGAGTGCTTTGACTAACTGAAGCAGGTTGCCAACTATCAAGAGCAAGCAAGTAGCACCACAATATGAAATGGTATTCAAATCTTTTTTATTTTTTTTGAAGAGCCTGCTTTCATCAAGAATAAAAACTTTTTGAGAGTGATACAGGGATCTCAGCACTGTCATTTCACTGCTCCTTTCCACCAAGTGCTTCAAGTACAGGGTAGGGTAGAAATAACTCTGGCTTGGGAATAAGATTATCCGTCCCCCCGCCCTCCGGCTCTGTAATTACATAGCTGTGACATAAGGAATTCATTTCACCTCTATGGATCTTACTTTCCCTTCTGTAAAATGGGATGCTTAAGCCAGATGAATTTCAGCTTTAAAATCCTGTGGTCTTATTCCCACACATTTTCAAGGCCTCCTGTAGTCAGAGCCCAAGCTCTTATGGCACACATTACCCTCTCAGCAGGAGGCTCCATCTGCTCTGGCCAAGTGACCTCTAGATCTCTAGGCTCATTCGCAGTTTCTCCTCTACCTTGCTCTTCAGCGCATGTTGGGGGTTGGGCTCTCCCTTCCACTTACCCCATTCTTGCTGTCCTTGCAGTCTCAACACAAGCCTCACCCACTATATGATGTTTTCTCTGACCACCTCAGTCTTTCCCAACCTCATTATCCTTTTGGATAGATATTGTTTACTGTGTCTTTACAATACATTCTGGACTAGACTGACAAACGCATGGACAGCAGAGCTCCAAGTCTGATACCATTTCCATACCACCCAACATAATGCTACACATTCTGAACCTTCCTTTGCTCTTTTGTAAAAGAGATACCACCGCCACCTATCTCCTAGAGTTGCTGGCAAGAATAAATGAGGTATTACTGTAAAAATGTCCAGCATGTTGACTAGAATCAATTAAGAACTGAAATACTAATTTCCTTCCTTACCTCCCTCTATTTGGTGACTAGTCTTCCCACAAGGTGGTCTACTGAGAAATGTACTCATTTGGGAGATGGATGTCTAGACTGTACTAGCAGCCTAAGCGGACCTTGGGCAAGTCACAATTTCTCTACAGCTTAGATTTCTTCCAATGATGATATCAGCACTTGTTCTCATCTTTTATGACAGAAGGATAAAATGAGATAACACATGAGAAAGCACTTTCTTTTGAAGAGCTACCAGCATTATTATTTTTCATAAGTCCTAGTTTCAGAAAGAAAAACCTTAAAACAACAGAAGAGACAGCAAGATGCCAATGTTAATGGGTGATTTGATGACGACTGTGAAAATCCCACTCTTGATATAGACTAGAAATGTCAGAAAGTTGTATTTACTGTTCCTTGAGGTAGAAAAGCACAGATACTGAAAAGATTAGGTAGCTTTCTTTTTTGAACATAATCACCCGGGGCATTACTCATCTCCCATGCCGACATATTTTCTAAGTCAAACAATATCATAAATACCTCTGCGGGGCTTTGTGGGCCTCGGAATCTGGGCATATCCATTTGACAGTGCTAACTGCGAGCTAATAAAAAGCAGTGACGTTAGAACCTTTGTATTTTTTGTAAACAAACTTAATTATTATTATCTCTTCTGCAGTGAAGTATGCCACAGTTAGAAGTGGGGCAACAGAAGAGAAAAAATATAGTCCCCCAACTAAGCTGATTTTTTTGTATCAATAAAAGTTATCAATGCCTACAGGGTGCATAATACAATACAATGTAAGAAAGAACCATTGTATACAGTTAAGATTAAAATATATCCATAAAGAGACATTTCTGTCCCAAATTGTTTTGTGAAAAAAAAAATGAGGAACACGATTAGGGGAGGGTAATTTGGAGAGAAGCATTTTAGAAGAAAGATGTTTTTCTAACAAAATAAAGACATCAGCCGTTACTGGTGACAAAACAGATTTTAGCACTATAACTTAAGGACTCTGTTTTTCTTCCATTTCAGAATGCAATCACCCAGACTGGTAGGTAAGTAAAGATGTGTGCGTGGCATGAGATAGGGAGGGTGTGTGGTGTGTGTGTGTGTGTGTGTGTATGTGTGGTGTGTGTGTGTGTGTGTGTGTGTGTGTGTGTGTTGGGAGGGATTTAATCTCATTGCTTATTTCTTCTAATATTAGTTTATAAAGTCAATTAAGGAATACCTATCCAAAACAGATCACCACTCTTATCAAGGAGTCATGTAAAGATATATTCTTATTTTTCTTTGTTAAATACCTAGCGACATTTTAAAAACATTTCAGCTTTATTAATTTGTATAAATATGCCCTTGCCATAATTTGTAATACATTTTATAAGCAACTGGAGGAGATTTCATGCATCACTAATTCATACATGTAAATGTGAAGTTTGCATTAAACGTCTCTAAACAAAACCCTACTTCCTTGCTATTTTTAGAAGGAATAGGATAAAGAAGAGACAAGAAGACTCTCATTACAAAGGCTGACCCTCTTAAAATTAAGGCTATTCTGTTTTGAGCATCAACCTGCTACTAAAACAGCGCTGGTACCAGGATTTTAAAAGGCCCGAGTCTGGAAATACTATGATGGTTGATTGGCTTTAAAAAATAACATGTTAGAACCACAGAAAACAGTGATTATAAGTGGCTGGCAACATTCCAAAGCTGCTTTTTAGTACTCCTTTGCTTTTTAGTATTCTTTTAAACCCCTTTGGCTACCAGTTCTCATCTCACACAATTTTTAGGTTTATGCCAAAAAAACCAGGACACTGCTACTACAAAGTGTAGAAAAGATCCAAGCAGTACACTACCCACACGCACTCTAAATCACTAAACTCTTTCAGGTCTGCCTCGTCTGGGTATACTAAAATATATGATAGAACCTTCCTGAAGATGGGCACATTGCATAGCTTTCTTGGAACAGATTATGCCACTTATTATTTATAATGATATTTTCTAAAACCTCTGTCGCTAAAAGTGGAACTTAACATTTATACAGTCTAATAGTTCAATTTTCCATGAAGACAACATTACGAATAGGCAGCAATCAAGTGAAAAAATAAATGATTGCAAAAACAATGCTTAAACTGTAATGAAAAATACAGTAGACCTTACTTGAAAATAAGTTAAGATGACTGTTTTGTCATTTTATTAGCATTATTAGTAAATTAGTTTTATAAGTTAAAAAAGCTCTTCTAAAATTGTTTTTAAAAATAAGCCATTTAAAAATAAGCTATTGGCTTATTTAAAAATAAGAAAACAAAAAAAGACCCTCAGACTATTTTAATTATCTTCAAGTTCTGATATTCATACCATTTCAAGAAACAGTTAATCATAATGCAAATACTAAGGAAATGTTTAGATGATTTTTATTTTTTAGTCTAGAAATCTATTGACAATGCTTATTTCCCCAGAGATACCATTCTTAGACACCTAAACAAAATGCAAGACACTATTTGGCAATGTGCTTTTTAAATAGCTGAACACCTTTAAACAAGTTGGGCCTATACTGATTTAAATTTTAAGTTGAAGTCTAAGAAAAACAAAGTCTATATAATACTCATAAGGCCATGGAGTTACGTAATACTACTTGGTTAAGTCAAATATATTCCTATTTCAATAAAAATTAAATAGCACTGGATTAAATACCAACCATTCTTAATCATGGTTTGAGTCTGATAACCAAAATTAAAAATTTAATGTCATGGAAAATATATCTCACAAACTAACCAATGCAAAGTTCTAGGCTTTAAACCTTTTGATAGTGTCAATAAAATCCCCAGGAAAGGAGAATACTGCAACTCTCCTTGGAACATAGGTGTTTTAAATCATGGTTAAACAGACAGAATGTTAAGAATGGTATGGTTTTTATTTTCCATAGCAGGTTTATTGACACTTTTTTTTCTAGTAAAGTTTGAAAATCTGACACTACCTGTCCACATAGAAGGGGAAACAAAACTTGGTCAAAGTCTGTAGAACTTCCTGTGGAGAGAAAGAGAGATAATTTATACATCTAATGGGACCAATAAATCTAACATTAACCATGGCACACAATCTAGCAACTTTACCCTAAAGAAAGAGGAGACAGATGAAGAAATATGGGCTTTATCAATTACATGGGAGGAGTACCAGGCAGTCAATCATGAGAAATAATAAACATGATCAAACTTCATTAAAAATGAAAAATTAATCAAGAATCACACATGGGCAAGCAGCAGGAGCCGTGCAGGAAAGCTCTGAAGGGAGGGAGGCGGGTGGGTTGCTGAGTGTTAACACCCCTCCAGGGACCATCTCCAGCCTGACCATATGGATCAGAGTGAATAACACCGAGCCACATGGGTTTGGCCTGGCAGGGCCGCTGTTGCTGGCACCGTTTTTGCCTGTTACCTAGGAACAGAGGGGGCCAGGATTAGACAACGCTTCCCAACATCAATAGGCCAAATCACAAGCAAAATAGAAAACCAACTGGAAGACAATTGTCCCCGAACATTGTCAACTACATTTTTTTAGAGTTTAAAACTTTATTTACTTACTTTATAAAGAAGTTGCCATTTCTGGCATGAATTTATTTTGTAATCAAACTATAACAATTTTAAGTGTGCAGTATTTTTAGTCATTATCATTAAACATCATTATCAAAATGGAACACACTTACCTGCTTGTAATTTATAAAAATCCAAAGCAAACTACCAGTTTAAATGTCTTTTTACAAATATGTAGGTACATAAAACCAAGCACATTACTCAGGGGAAGTATACAAAAAGGGTACAAAAAAAAACCCAGAGTGACATTTCAAAGACTTATTCATAAAAGAGAAACTTCTAACATTAAGAATACTATATGAGACACAACATACAGTGGTGTGTGACTTTTCCCAATAGATACATTTCACGTACACAGAATATATACAAACAGCAACACACAGACCCAAGTAATTAATCATTACTTCCCTCACAGAATTTTCTCTAACTTGACTTAATTTTAACTGCAGACTTGGACAGACCACAGTTGGTGCTTATCATAAGTTCATAGACCAATGTTATAAATTTTAAAAAAGTATTCCTTTCATGCATTTGATTTGCTTTTTAACTATTTAAAATCCAACTTCAAGACAAAATGAAGAACACATTTTTCAGTCATTGAGAAGCTGGTTCAAATTAAAACAAACATGCCCATTGCAAATCCTAATCCAAGTGATAAATTAAAGATCAGTTTACAAATGTAGCACTTTTCTAACCAATAATAATGAATTATCAATGCTAACTGAATTGATGCTTCTCGCTTCATTTATTTTTAAAACCAGTTCTATCACTCAAGAAATAAACCACATCAATCTAATAACCCACTCAATGAAGCAGAAAGCACATTGACTTTCTCTGCCAGAGCATGTTCTGCCTACATAATTCAATTGAGCATATCCTATTTTTTTAATATCATTTTGGGCTGGGTGTATATCACAGCACTGTTAAGGCATTTCATGATATAGTAAAGGAATAGAAAAGTGAAAAATGAAAAAGGGTAGGTAAGAATACTTCAGCATATCCTGAGGCATTACTGATACATTAATTAATTTCATAATGTGGCATATTCATAAGACCATACACATACTGTTTTAAAACTCATAGTAAAATAAACTGCAATAGGTTAATGGGGAATCAGAAGAACAATAGCAATTTTTCAATGCATAATGTTATTATCAGGCAAATATTGGCAAAGAGATCATAAAACCCATTCATTTTAATGTCTGCAGTTTTAATTATAAAATATATTATAAGCCGCATAAACAAAACTCTTAGGATTTACACACAAAAAGAAATTCCTTACAAATTCCTTTCACATCAAGTTTCAAATACCACAAAGCATTGCTTGACTTTAGTTTATGTACCAAGCATTCTCTAAAACTCAGTCCCCAGTGCTCACTCATTGCGAACACCAGCTACAAAGACATTTATCCTTTACCCTTCAAAAGTTACAGGTGCAGACGTACTCCTCTACTCTATGCTGGAGTTGAGCTGACAAAAGCCCTCAAGATTTTTGAAAGAAAGGACCCCCATGGCTACAGCAGAGTCAGAGAAATCTAATATGCCCAACTTATTACTCACTACAATACAGAAACTACTTACCACTTTCTAATGTCAAGAGTAATAAGCAACCATGAACTTGTCTGTCAGATAATATTAGAACAAATATCAAAATACCCAATGTAGGCTGAGTACAACCCACCTCCCAAGAGCTTTCCTTTTTACCCAAGAAAGCAGTGATAAGTCTAATTAAGCAATGGGGCAGGGGGATGGGGAGGAGGGAAGGGAATATAGGCAAATGTAGGCACATGTTTGTGCATTACAATGTTTCTTCATGTTTGTGATATTACAAGAGTTTGATATTCCAATTGAAGTCAAACAGCACAGTAGTGTGCTGTCAGAGGAGAAAACAAAAATGAGCATTGCTCTGTGTTAGGCAAATTCACACATCATCTCAATCAGAACTGAAAAATCAAACTTCTCAGTTTGGGAAGGGGAGGACAGGAACAGGGAGGGGAAAACAAGTAATGTTTCCTGTAAATAAAAACTGCTGAAATAAACCAATTTTTCTTAATACTGATGTTTTCCCCATATATAAATAGGTAACTACCTTATCCTCTCTTTCCAAAGAAAAACAATTACTTCAATATGAAAAGTACCACTCTCTGAGAGAGGGGACTTTAAAACCCTGATTTAAACTTATTTTGAGCATCATGCTTATAGCAGAGTGTCCCACAGTCTTTCAATATTTACTTTACTGGGAAAACAGTCACTAGCCAGTTACCAACACATTTTTCTCTCTTGAACCTGTGTCTTTGGCTAGGGAACTTTCTTTGTAGAAAGTAATTCTCCTGTTTTCTTCTCTCTCTCTCTCTCTCTCTCTCCTCTCTCTCTCTCTCTCTCTCTCTCTTTCTCCCTCCCTCTCTCCTTCGCCTACACAAGCTCTTTCAGACAACCAGCCTCAGTACAACCTCAACTGCCACGTAAATCATAAATCAGATCTTGGAGATGCAATACAGCTGATGAAATGTAAATGACCTCGTTGCTAAGGCAGGGGGTGGGGAAGATTGTGCCAGCTCTCCAGATCAATTCCCAAGTTTATATTTTCACAAATCTTTTTATGTACAGTTTGATTTTTTAACATTTTAATGAGCAAACAGTGCATCTATAGTAGCCAGTCACCACAGTTAAAGTGCAGGGCATGAACTAGATCCCAGGAGGGAACCAGTCCACCATGTCACCACTGGCTTTAGGACATTTGCCACCTGGTTCCATGTCCCCAGGTTCCAACTCTTTTCTTAATCAAAACACTGCTGACATTATAAACCCCAGATGGGTTTTCTAAAATCCCTCCCAATCAATATATCCAACACATAACTTATTGGAGACAACACTGAGCTCATTGATTAAGGTGAGTTCAGTAGCAAAGTTTTCAAAATAAATGAGACAAGAATATAGAATTCAACCCCTTTGTGTCACCAGACAATTTATGAAATAGGCAATTTCCAAAAGGGCTTTTCTTCCCAACACAATATACAATACTTCATGTGGGAATAAGTAAGAGCAGAAGGGGCAGGGGGGGAGCGTGGAGGGCAGGCAGTTGCACTAACCTTTCAGTTATGGGTATATTAAGCAGCAGACCGCACAATGCAGTAGAAAAGCAACAACATCTACAAAGCTCTGCCCACAAGGAGATACCAAATCTCAGAGTGTGAACCAAAATATGAAATCAACAACCCTAACACTGGACTCATTTGCAAGTGAAAATCAGAAATGAATTCAAGATTCATCTCAGTCTTCTTTGGATTCATTTCACCCAGTTTGAATTCTCATACAGTCAGAAGGCCCATCAAGGGACCTTATTCCAATCTGGACAAAGTCGATTATGTTCTGATGAAACCGAGCTATTCCCTTAAAAACCTGGTAAAATTTTACATTTATAATATTATCCATAATAGAATCCTATCTGGAGGCAAAACTTCTAAGACTAAATTTGATGTAGTTAACAAGGATTATTAATAATGAGAGGCTAAACCAATTCCCCCTGAATTTGGAGTGCAGGGTGGGAAGGTGTATGAGATACTGCAACAGCCATCAGTTCAGATGTCAAATACTTTGTTTTCATTACTTCACTGAAACCCATAAACAAAAATTAGTTGTATTTGGCAGATGAAAACAAATGACAGTCAAACACAGACATACGCACCCCACAAATAAATGCCATCTGAAAGACAAAAGTGCAGGCTGATTATAATGTCCACTGGGGTTACAGAATGTTGGGAGATGAGGCACATTCTCAGTAGTCCAAAAGGAAAAAGAAAATGTGTGCAGGAAAACATTTAAATAGAGCAAAGAGACTGCTTGAATAAATTAATGTATTTTAAAATATGTAAAGCTACAATCACCCTTTGGAAATTGCTGGTATAGTGGTCGATAATTCACCTTTGTCCAAAAAGGAGTGAAGGAGGAAGAAGCTGGAAGACAGTAGGAGAGCATTTCCTGAGTCTCTCATATCTAATTTATTTGTTCATTTCAGAATGTAGATGTGTGATGAAAAGATCAGTGGAGCCCAAATTCCTAAAATACTCTATTTCTATGTTTAAAAAAATTTTTTAATAGCATGAGGTAAATGCTGACCCTCTAAGTCCTGCAAGTGAGATCAGTGCAACTGACTTGAAAGAAAAGGCTTTGATTGATGATCTCAAAACTCAAGTTGAAAGTTAAAAACAGAACACACACAAAATCCAAACATACAAAAAAGCTAGCAAAATTTCTACCTTAAGCCATTTCAAGTTAAAACCAGGGACTCCAAGTGAAAGCTAACAGAGGTTTTAATGCTTATGATTCAGAAGAGTAAAACAGAATGGTAAGAAGTTCTTAGAAGCTTAATTAGCACCAAGTTCAACAATGTTGACCAGAAATTTCCTAAATATGAAAACAGGAAATACAATTTTTCTCCTT